TAATAGTTTAATTTTACTACAATGATATGAGTAGGCCAAACGTTTCCATTAAATTTCACATGAAAATCAGATTGCCAAAAGGTATTCTTATCCAGAACAAGCTGTAGTTTCGACCTAGCCTAGTTCTCATCGAAATTTTGGCAAAACTCAACTATCATTCATTCATCGCTCTATGCGGCCTAGGGTAACTGGAACTTATTCAAGATTTATTGAGTTTTTAAAGATTATTTCATCTGAAGATGAAGAAGTTTGCTTAACAATTGCACTATTAAATATGAAAGTTACGTATACTAGTAATTAAATAAACGCAGACAGCAGAGATAAACATTATGGCAAAAAATGATGAGTGCAATGGAATGCATTTTTATAAAGTAAGGTTATATTCTAAAGTTATATCCGGCAAAGTTATGTTATATATACAAATAGTAACTGGGTTTAGATCAATATCTTGGCATAACATTGTTGTGAAGATTTTAGTTAAGTATAAAAGTTTATTATGAAGAAATTCGTAGGTTGGTCTCACCAGAAGACAAGGGCTGATTTCTTTTGTCATAAAGCCATTTAACTTTGTTATGATGTTCTAGTCGATATAGATCACTATATACTATACACCCTTCCTCGTTTTGGTTAAAAATGGGCTAAGCTCTCGCCTGCCATATGACGAACATCGTCAGAGCTAGAGTTCATTCTTACAAAAGCTTCATGTCTACATGTTAGCCAAGAAGATTATCCTGCTATGGATAACTTGTAATATATTCTCTTATATAAAAACAAAAAAATATAATCAAAGTAGTTATGCTTAAGTCCGTTTGTGTGTTTTTGTTAACATCCGTACGAATGTAGGTCAGAGTACTCAAATTCAGCAGTACAAAAGCCTAAAGTCGGACCAAGACTCAAGGGTTAATGACTCAAGGAAATACATGAATGAGATTGCCCGAAAGTTAATCTGGTTGAAATGATGACATTCAAGGCCACACACGTTTCAGTCAGGCTATGAAACTACCAGTCAGCCTGAGATCATTAATTTTTACTGGCCCAAGAAAAAGCATGACTATGTTTGCGTAATATCGTACATATTATTGGGTTGATGAACTTAATAGAACTCTTGAATTAATGTGAATGTGGTCAAAATCATCACTAAGTTGGCAAGTTGAGTCACCCTTTGACTGGTGGCATTGTTTGCAATACAAAGGTTAGTTTAAATGAGCAATCTCAGGCCGAAAATGTCCTGTATGACCATTCTCATAAAAAACGGAAAAATTTATTAAATAACCGAGCAATAAAGCCTTTGTGAGGTGAAAAAATAAAATATTAAGAATTTGTTTCCGAAGTAGAATGGCATATACTCAAGATAATATCATATTAAGTAAAATAAAATAGGGTTATAATTATGATTTTAGGCCGATAGAAGTTTACAATTGTATACATCTGTTAAGAAATGAATAGGTAAGATATCATTTCAGACCTACCAATAGATGTTAATACATCATCATTTGTTGTTTTAGAGTTCAGGCTGTCTTGACTACAAACCTGAGATGCTGGCTGCACAGTAAAAAAGAAAAATAATTATTTATTCAGAACTTATAAATTCCCAGATTTATGGCGGTAGATCAAACATCATAACATAATAAAA